TGGGAATACTCTTGTTATGTCTGGGATTGTCAGGCAAGATGGAGACCCTTGAGTTTTTTGTCCCATATTGCTCTACCTCTATTTGGATAAGGTACTTAACTGATAGTATTCTCTTTTCCATTAGTTCCTGTGGGGCACAACTATAGCTACCGTCATTTCTGCCCCCCCCCCGATTGTTTGTACTTTCTCCCCACTAGATGGATGCTATGGAAGTATCACATTGACATTTTTGTATTGAGTATGTCTAGGGAACTCGTTCTTCCCTGGCCAGTTTAAGCCATCGGGTTACTGTAAACCATTCTTCTCTTCTGCTCTCACTTTTGCTTTCCTTTCTCTGTGGGCTTTTCTTCCTCTTTTACCTGCTCCTCGTCTATTATCTAGCTAGCACTCATTGTTACTAACCATTGTTCTCCAACACTCTACATCCAAAGGGGTTTGCATCCTAGTCTTCAGACAGACACCCTGGAAATTCCAAGATCAGTTTACAGATGAATTGGGTAGGATCTTTTTTGTAAAAACTTGGTAGGATCTTTTTTGGGAAAACTTGGTGGGCAGCTTTTTACTGGCCTGGGCAAGGTGTATGCACCGAATGCAGGTCAAATAAATTTCCTTGAAACATTCCTCCAAAAATCAGTCGACTTTGCGGAAGGTTTTTGGGTACTAGGTGGGGACTTCAGTGTAGTTCTTGAACCTCAATTAGATACTTCTAAGAGTACATCTCATCTCAGTTTTCCACAGAGAGTTGCACTGGTTTATAGGACTCAACAAATCTTCTAAACCGAACAAATGTAATTTAAATCTCTATTAATTTATTAAGTATGGCCACTATGCTTGTTCATAAATACATTTATTAGAGATTAGGCCAATTCCCTCCTAGCTGTATATATCCTAAGGATAGTTTGGTGAATTCTAGTTGATTTGTGGGTCCATATACATTTTAAGAGTTTTGTTTTGAAGAAACAAGGTAAGGGATATGTATAGAAAGTGCCTGGAGCAGGCATATTACTTGATAAAATGTTCATTGTAATACAATCACAGCATCCAAACCATGAAAAGGTTCCAGCGGACCAATGGGTGAGATTAGATTGAATTTGTTTCATTAGTGAGTTAAAGCTCAGGGTGTACAGAGTAGTTAGATTGCTGGAAGGGAAATATGTGATAAGGGAAGTAGCCCATTTATAGTGAAAGTGTTCATGTAGCATGTACACTCGGAGATTGCAAGTGTAATGCTTAACACCTCTGATTTTAGCAAGTTAAGTTTAAAATTTTAGAAAGTCCTGTACAGCTTAAGTTCACTTAGGAGGTTGGGGGGTTACAAATGAAAAAAGAAGGTCATCCATGTAGGCAGCTATTTTGTGATCCACATTTCCGATAGTCATGCCCTTAATATCAGGATGAGCCCAGATTGTATTGGCTGTGATAAAAGTCAGCCCCCTGTTCCTGTTAAGGATGAAAAATGGATCTGATAATGTTCCATTTGCTTTACCTCTTGCCATTAGGATGGAATACAAGGCCAGGGTATGGGAAATCATAAGGGTTTATTCCCCAAAAGGCAAATACGCTGTTCACTATGCAAGGAGAATTTTCCCCTTGCTTAGTGAATGAGGTAAAGCTCTGTTGACTTTCATCATCCAACCACGTGTGGGCAAAAATACTGTCTTTATTTTTCCCTTGCATATAATTGGGTTTTCTTTGCAAAGTAAAATGTAATCACATTCACTAAGCTAAGGGAAAATTACCTGGCAAAGTGAAAATTCTTTTGCAAACTGAACAACCTATTTGCCTTTAATAAATCAACACCATAAAGTCTCCCAATTCTATATATTGAAGCACTGCCTACATAAATGTCCAGTCAACATCAACAGAGAGCAACATGAGTTGGAGGCTCGGATTCTAGGCTCAGATGATGTTTTCACAAGCCCCCTTGGCAGTGGCGACTCTAGGAACAATATATAGGGGGGGGCACATAAGATACCACAGTCAAAACTGGGGGGGCACTAATAAACGTCACCACTAAATCATACCACTGAAAAAAACGAAATAAGTATATATAAATAAGGTTAGAAATATGAGAGTAATGCGGTATGCCAGGATACCTTGTTATTGTACTTACATACTAACCCCTCATCTATCGACTAGCATATCTAATCCTGTACAGGCTGTCAGGTGGGCTAGATGGGCTCTCAGGTGGGCTGCGGGCTCTATGCAGGCTGTGTGCGGGCCCCCCATCATCAGGCTGCTAGAACACTTACCTTACCACTCAAGCGACTCTGCTCCACTCCCTGATCACTCTTTGGTAAAGGCCGCAACAGACCAAGCTCCGCCTCCTGAAAACTCCCCTTCCTGCATGTACAGGAAGGTACCAAGTTAGAGGGAAGATGGGCCGGGAAACTACTAAGTGCTGTACTGCACTTATTACCAACAGCAAAAACAGTGGTGGACCTAAGGAACACCCCCCCCCCGGCAGTCTCTGCACCAGAGGAGCTTACATACTAACATCCCCCACAGTCTCACACTACTATTATTATTATACATTAATATAGCTCTGACATATACTGCAGAGATGTACAGGGGACACCGAGCCAGCTACATCAATCTCTGTACAGAGGAGCTTACACTCTAATGCAGGACGGCACCGGCTGTACTACAAATCCCAGCAATCTTATACAGCACTGCAGAACTGTATATGAATTGGACTCAGGACTTTGCAAGGCACTGGCCTCTGGACTTAGGAACGAATGGACTCTAGACTTAGGTAAGCACTGGGCTCAGGTGAGACACCTGATACCCCGCAGAGCCCACCTGAGACCCCACACATACCTGAGATGTCACATGGTCCACCTGAGAGTGACCATAGATCCTGCACAGCCCATCTAAGACTCCCTATGGTGGGCTCTGCAGGGTCTTAGGTGGGCTGGTCAGGGTCCCTTTCCCTGTACCTCCGTCCCAGCTTTTTTTTACCTGCTGCTGGGGTCTGGCCTCTTCCGCCGCTGGAACGGCGCTGCTGGGAACCGATCGGAAGTGACGGAATTGGAAATCGTCGTTGGAGATCAGAACACCCTGCAGCCAGTGGCGTACCTAAGGAACAAAGGGCCCTGGTGCAAACTGCCCCTTGGGCAGTACAAAACCCACCTGATCAGCATGTATCAGTCTTTGCACATATTGGTCCAGTCTAGCTGGCAGAATCTTAGAGAATAATTTGAAATCCACATTTATTAGATAGGCATATAACTTGGACATTGGATAGAGTCCTTACCCTCTTCCAGTATTACAGTAATATGGAGGGTAAATACAGGAGATTCTCTGGATTCTTTGGGTAGGTGGTCCTTGAAGGCTCTTTTAGTATTGTAGAGTGAGTCATCTGGTCCCAGTATGGCATTTTGGTCACATTTCTGCGTAAGGAGTTTTACTTTTTATACAGTCACATTCCTAAAATGTAGTTCTATAGAAACATTTCAGTCATTTTCTGCACTGCCAAGGCAATCATTTCTCTTGCTATCGAGCAGAACTGAGCTCTTGACTGGGACTGTTAGTAGAAGATAAGGACAAGCACCTACTGATTTGCTTTCAGCACATTACTCCAAGCAACTTTACAAACAGTATGGTGCGCCCATGTAGTCTACAATCAACCCTGATTGCTGATTTATTTAGTTTAGTCGCCCTATGGCAGACAGAGTTCATTGCAATGTGGCATCATTGTGTTGAAGATTGTAGCTGCAACAGAAAAAAGGCAAGATATCAGACGGTATTACCTGTAATTTTGTACCTTGTACTTTTTCTGGTGTTTGTTATGAGTCTTCATATATATTCAGTTATGTTATCTAAGCTTAGGAATGCACCTATCTTAAAACACACTCACACATCTGTCTACGTGACCAGTGGATAGGCTTGGGAATTTCCACATAGTAGGACATAGCTTCAGAATTTGTAAAGGCTGGAGACTAGCTTAAAATTGAACCCAAGCTAAGAAGTAGGCACAAGTAGTGCAGTAGTGTAGGCACAGTAGTGCATAGGGACTTTTCTGTCTTGGTCTCCAGAAAAGTCCCTATGCACTGGTGGATCCTTTAAATCGTATCCCAGAGTATACATTGGGCTACCACTTTTCTCTAAGTCAAGGTTAAGCACTGCCCCCTCCTTGTGCTAAGCTTCACCCTCTACTATTTAGCTGTCAAATGCCAATGTCCAAGGGGTTAATAGAGGCTCTTGCTTTTGTTCAAGGAGTGGTAGGGCGTAATCACAACTTGAAGAAAAGTTGAGGCCCTGTGTACAGCCTGGCCGGCACAGGATCGAATAGTGGGCGAGCGCCGATATGTGTTCGATATGTGTTCACTCACTTCCCGATCTACTGAGCTGACCCGTGACAGTTTCATTGTCACAGGTCGGCTCAGAGTATGAGGCTGAGTGAAAATCACTCACCTCATAATTCTCCTTTAAGTCTATATTTAAAGTGATGTTAAAGTCAAAACGTTTTTAAGGTAATTTAAAATTTTGGTCAAATTGCTAACAATGGATGCTGCTTGTTGATGATTAAAAGTTTTAGCTTCCTACAAAATTAGCTCCCCTGAGCACTGGCCCTGATATCCTGAGCCACCCTTGTGTGAGCCAGTAAGCGGTGTGTCTCCACAAACACAAAGGCACAGCAGTCCCAGTCACTTCCCTATTGCCTACTCCCCCCTCCTCCCTTCACCTTTCGCCATCGAGGCAGATGGATGGCTGCTGGAAATTGTGCTGTCCCTTGTGATCTTGTATTGGACAGGAAGTTCATGGAAGCAAAGCTGAGAGAGTTAGAGCTGTTTGGAAACATGATGACTATAAGTGCTTGGGCAAAAATTTATAAAAAAAAACACTTTGCTAGGCAATGTATATTTTGTTGATCTGGATATATTATTGAAAATAAGTTTATGAGCTTAATATTACTTTAAATGTGCCCTAAAGTGTAGACTGGAATGATTGGACAGTACTGGCTAAAGCATTCCTTTTTATGATTTTTTTTTCTTCCAGAAACCTCCGTGACTGAGATCGAGGATTTAATAAATTATTACTAAATAATAGCAACCTGAAAGAACAAAGGTACGTTACTTCACTCTAGATGATAGAATTTTCAGTGTTACTGATTACTGAAATTACAATGTATTTTTTAATTGTTCTTTTCATCTGATCTATTCTATGACATTATTTTCCTTTCTGTATCTATGAAAGCCCTGCTGGAAATTCAGGTCATGGTGTATCTTTTAAAAAAAAGGCAATCTTGAATTTTATTTTAAAAAGATACAGATTACTTTGTTAAAGGCACTGCATCTGTAAGTTCGTTGCATTGGTGCAATTATTATTATTATTATTATTCTATTGCAATACCTTGTCTAGTCTGTACCCATAACTGAAAATACTATCTATATGATAGGTTTTCCACAAATGTTTTACTCAAAGAAACACTGTTGATGAAAGTTTTATATCAGTTCTTGATCTAAAGGCTTCCACTAAATATTATACTGTTCGCAGCAGTGCTTCTGTCACAGGGAAAAGAAAAGAAAAAATCAGTGGGAGTCCAGCACTGGTTGTTTTCTGCACAGGGCTCCCATTATTGAGGACAAATGAATAGCTCTGCAGCTTCCCTAAAGGGAAAAAATTATCACGGTATGCCTTACACTAAAGCACTTCCTTAACACTTAACCGTCGCATATTTAAACATGTAAAGTGAAACTCCAGGAAGACAGCTAAAAATACAGATGACATATTAATACAGTATTTTGACTGTTTTACCTGCTAAAGCATGTGTTATTCTTTATAGCCAATCTTGTGATACAGTGCTAAACTAGAAATTAGCAGAGCGGTTTTACTAGCTAACAGAGGTGTAAAAGTCAAAAGAATGGATAAATAAAGAGTGCAGCTTTAACCTAAAAAAAATAAAGGAAACACACATACATTGAGTCTTAGAAATTTAAATGGCCACTCCATTTAATATTTTAGCTACAACTGGACACCGGTGAACTGAATCTGGCTCTAGCTTCTTACAGCGATTACTTTAATTGCAAGATCTCATTGCCACATTTCCAGACACTGTTTCTGTCTGTCCTTGAGTTGTGGATGGTCCTGCACAGCTTTACATATTCCAGCACCTCCTGTTGCCTTCTGTAAAATGATTTGGTAAAACCAGCTCTTCTACTACCGTTATTATTATTATTACTAGATTAATGAATACTGTACAAGAATATTTTATAATGGTGTTCTTCAATCTTTATCAGACTCATTTTCATCCAATATCCGAACAGATCTCAGTATACCTTTTATTTACATTTCCTCCTTCTGAACAATAGCACCAGCAGCTATTGTCATTTATTTGTAGATGCTCCAGCTACAGTATGGCCAAACTTTCCTTTCTGCACTTTCCAATGTGTGTGCAGCTGCTCCACAGGGAACATAGCAGTTAGATCACTGACAGTATGAATAAGCCTCCAAGCTTTGTTGCAGAAAATATCTGTCACTTTGTGGCAATGTCTGTGGAGATTAAAGTACAACTAAAGGCATCTGTATGACAGTCTGAACAGCTACTAATTCCAGTTAAGATGTGATGGTTTTTTTTTTTTTTTATGGCAGATGGGGGGTAAGAACTTTCCCTGGGGGTCCGTATCTGGACAGACAGACGGAAGGGCTACGGGGGAAAGGAGCTGGGTGTAGGATATGGGTATGGAATGATGGAGGGGAGAGTGATTAAATGTATGATTGTTAAAAATGTAATAAAGAATTAATAAATAAAAAAAAGATGTGATGTACGGGTCTCATAAAGTAAACTAAAACCTCCTTTACCTTCCCTGGCTGAGCCAAATTCTCCTCCATTTGTGTCCCACATGCTTCCCCTCCCAGACACTGCAGCTCACAGTCTTTAGCAACAGAGGCAGTGCTCTCAATCTAGAAAGCACTGGGCAGGACTAGGTATGGCCAGATGCTTATTGACAAACTACAGGCACAATGCTGATAGTCACCCCCCTCCACGGAAATTAGCATTTTTTTTTCATTCCACTCTAGTACAAGCAGACACAGAATACAGCCTCTGAATTGAGAGGCAGTGCAGGATCATTGCCATACCATCACAGAAAATTGCGTTATGTGGACTTTACTGACAGGCTGAACATGTATTTGTATGACTTTGTAGGACAACTATGAGAAAACTAACTGCAAATGTATTTATAACTAAGTGTTGCAGCATATTTTTTTTTTAATAATGGATGGCCATAGTCTTACTTTGTGAACTGTCCATGGATTTAAGCTGAACTGAAAACTAATTTGCTCCCCCTTTCTGAAATTGTTTATGAATTACATTTTAAAGTGTAATTCACTTTTGCAGTCAGTTTGAGAAGACCTGACTGAATATTTGTTATGTGTTCCTGTTCACACAGCTTACCTAAACATATTTTTTTAAATTAATATTTACCTTTTAGCTGAGTTGAGCTTAGGAGCTTCTATACATACAAATGACCAAATTGGTAAAAGATCAGGCCACCTGAATTGGGTTGGGCTGTCCATCCAAGAGTGTATGGTCAGCTCTAAAGGTGGCCATACACTGTACAACCATCGCAAGACCTTAGTCTTGCGATGGTTGTAAAGTGATTTAAAAACGTACGATCTGCCCATCTTGGACAGGCAGATCGTACTCTCGATCATCGCATCGCTTCCGATGACTGCAATGCTGAACGGGCAGTGTGCGCGTACGATTTTCGGCTGGTCTTCTAGCGTGGTCCTTAGACAAAAGACGTGCGACCGTAGAGTAGAAACGGTCGCACGTCTTCGTTCACACTGCTCGATTCTCGTACGATCGCGGGATTTCCCGCGATTCTTGTACGAGAATCGAGCAGTGTAAGGGCAACTTTAGTTTGTCTGCAGTAAAATCTGAGTGAGATATAAGAAGCCTGTTGGCCTTTAACCACTTAAAGACCATGATGTTTCACCCCTTCCTGGCCAGGCCATTTTTCAGTGTTCAGAGCTGCAGTACTTTGATTGACGTTTATTCAGTCATGCAATGCTGTACTGAAATTAATTTTATACCATTGTTTGGGGACAGATATAGCTTTCTTTTGGTGGTATTTAATCACCACTGGGGGTTTTTATTTTTTACTATATAACAAAAAAAGTACCCTAAATTTTGTTAAAAAGAAAAAAACCTGTTTCCCTATGAAATGTTATGAAACATTTATTTTCACCACAATTTTTTGGTAAAATATAAAAATACGGGGTCACGTCGGGTAAATAGACCCCAAACATGTCAAGCATTAAAATTGCGCGCGCCCGCGAAATCGCAGATAACGACCACAACCAAAATTGGCCATAGGTGACGCTTTAAAAGCTTTTACCACTCATCAGTTTAGTGTTATCAGTGATTAATGGCTCTAGAATTATTGCTCTCATTCCGACGTGCGCGGTGATATGTAACTTGTGTGGCGTAATGGGCGCAATCGTCGTTTTCGTGTTTGTGTGTGTATGTGGGGGGCCGGGGGACTTAAAAAAAATTGTGTTATTTTACTTTTTTTTTATTTGTGACTATTTTTTTATGCTTTAATTTTTTTCAAACTTTTTTTTTTACCCATACCTATATCGCTATCACATAGAGGACTAAGAAATCCCCTATGTGATAGCCAATTCACCAAACAGGTCTTTTTTATGGAGACATCAGGGGGTCTTTAAGACCCCTGATGTCACCTAGGGACCCCCAAAGAAGCTGATGAAGCAGAGATCTGCTCCAACAGCTTCTGTCTGATGTTCTGTACCGGAGAGTGACAGAGGAATGCGGAAGTGATGTAATATACATCACTTCCTGCATTCGGGGACAGCAGAGGAGATCAAAGGGAGGTGGTTAAGTTGCACCAATAGTGACCAATGAGATTTTGTCTATGATTCTCCTGGACAAGTTGATTGGTCATGGTGAGCAAATTCTGCAACTTTGTGCAGAGCTTTCATTTCTCTTTATAAGAAGGCCCCCTTTGTTAGGTTCAACAAAGTGAACAATATTACAGAGTAAAAACAATTGAACAAAAACAGACAGGTATCAACCAGAAATGCAAGGTGGCACCCATACATACCTCATTGGCATAAAATATTACACAACAGAACACAAACAGTTTGGTGTATGGCAAAATGGGAAGTACTAGGCACACAGGCCAGATTAGTCATAAGGGTGTATTGCAGGCTGGATGCTCTGGATATTTGAAAGAACTATTAGAACTAGAGAGACAAAGATAAGAGAAAATAAGAAAAGAGGAGAGGGTGAACGTTGAGATCTCTGGAATACACAGAGACTCATATACACACACATGCTCACAAAGGTTGAGCTCGATGGACCTGTATCTTTATTCAACCTTAACTAGTAAGTAACTATGAAACAAAAATAAACTCTACTGCAAAAAAGGAGTCACAGGCCAACAAGCGATGATCAAAAGAAGGTGGTATAAAATGTTGTATCCAATGTTCCTGGACTTTCTCAAATTTGATCATTGTGTCTGGTTGCCTTGCTGTGAGCTTTTCGTTCATGAAGGTCCAATGGACCTGCAGTATTCACTTTTTAAAACTGGCATGGGCTGCTTTGTAAAGTTGTTATAATCCTTAACATATCCATACACATTAGCTGTGTACAGTGATAGGAATTTAGCTGATCTGAAAAATCCAGAAACATTGCAACACCACATCTTAACTTATCCAGTTAGGGATCTAGGAAAGTGCTGGCCAACATACTTGATATAGAGCTTCTCAAGTGCAGCCCCTGACATCACTAAAGAGCCGTACACAATATTCAGTAACTACTACAGTAGATAGTTGATATAGGATATAATCAGAGACTGCAAATATGCTGTAGGGCTTGTTGGAGATTGTGAACATGCTTCGGGGGACAATATTCTGTAACTACTACAGTAGATAGTTTATATAGGATATAATCAGAGACTGCAAATATGCTGTAGGGCTTGTTGGAGATTGTGAACATGCTTCGGGGGACAGTCATAGAGTGAAGACATATTACCTGAGACTGCTAAAGATCATCGCTCTTATAGCACCATTACAAATCAATGCTCCTGCAGCCCCTTAAA